TATATCCCTTAACACGCCCCCGCAAGATGGTGGCTCATTTGAGCAGACCAATCTTGAAATCCACGTGCTCATTTTAGAGTCTTAACGGGATCAAATCGCTCGTTGGAGCATAATGGGCTCTGATACCATATTAAGGATTGGGGTTCCATCTTAAAAGGTCAACCTTATTAAGAGGAGTAGCTCAAAATCTTTATTAATTGGTCTGTGTCAACATCTTTATTCGATGTGGAATTATATCCCTTAACAATCCCCCAGTGGGGATGCATCCTCAATCTATGTGGATGTAAATGATAGGTGCAATTAAATGACTTATTTAATTTCACCTATCATTTAATGACACATTAACGCCACATAGATTGGGGATGCGTCCCCAGTGGGGATGAATAGCATTTCTCAAATAAAAATTCAGAAACTTAGCCCACGTTTGATCTACATTATTATCTCATTAAAATGAAAAATATGACCGTTATTCATCACATCAACATTTAAATTCAAATTTTATATCTCTTATGTGGGCCCCAATAACGACTATATTTTTCATTCTCATTTTACAATAATTTGGTTCAAATGGGGCGTTAGGGTCGGTTTGAAAATGGAGATGAAAATCTAAGGAATTATTAAAAATTTACGTGCATATTTTATTGAGAAAATGAGTAATTGCAATGAGTGAGAAAAAATAAGTTCTAAAAACTTTTAACAACCTGGACCTAGTGCCTTTTCGATTTTGAACAAGTCTGGTCAAAATCCTATTTCAATAGTTAAAATAAATAAATGAATATATTAATTTATTGTTTTTGTTCAAAAAATAATCTACGTTAGAGATATCGAAGGGAAAAGGAAAAGGTTATGATTATTATATTATTGTGCCGGCGCAACCAACGAGTCTCCGTCCTTAGCTTCGCTTCTGTACCTACCTTACGTGTACGTACAGTTATAAGCAGAAAGATCGCAATAGTTCAGTTTTGGTATATAACTGAAAAATGGAGTCTCCATTTAAGGTGGATATACTGAAAGGTAAAGTAGCTTTGTTGACAGGAGGCGGATCAGGAATCGGGTTCGAGATCTCAACGCAGTTCGGTAAACATGGAGCCTCCGTCGCCATCATGGGCCGCCGGAAGAACGTCATTGACGATGCCGTATCAACACTCCAATCTTTAGGAATTCCGGTAATTGCTTTCTCCTTTTTGGCATATAAGTTCATTTGAAATCATATTGTGCACTTAGTCCTATTATGCCATTTTTGCGGGCTGGTTTTGGAGAAGGGTTAGAAAAACTTGTGTTATTATTCTCCATTAGACGATTACAATGAAAAACTGCCGCGGCAAGTTACATTGAGACTGTTGAATCAATATAAATCTGAGTTTGATTTGCTTGTCTTCTAATTTGATTATGTTTATTATTGCTCTCGTGAGAAGGGATTAGGGCTGAATCCATAATATAATGTGCACTTCATTTTCAGGCTGTGGGGTTTGAAGGTGATGTAAGGAAACGGGAAGATGCAAAAAGAGTAGTGAAGGAAACTGTGAAGCATTTTGGAAAGCTTGACATTCTTGTTAATGCTGCTGCTGGAAATTTTCTTGTGTCAGCTGAGGATTTGTCTCCTAATGGCTTTAAAACAGGTTTTTTAGAATCTGCTAATCATCCCTCTGTTACTAAGGGAAATATTCATTAGTTCATTGGGATCTTCGAATGACTGCTAACATAGTTATTACCTTAAAATTGATGAATGACAATTATGGCCTCACCAGAGATCAGCCTTAATTTGTGACCATAATTGCTACTAGTGATGCAAGCATATCATTGTAAAAAGAGACAAGAAAGTTTTAAGTCTTTTTATTGAGCTATTTCTTCTAAGAGTCCGTTTGATTGCAAGAATGAAAAATGGGTGGAAAGAAAATGAATTTTAGAGAAAATAATTGTCTAGAACTTGTTTTCCCGAGAATTGTCAATTAATTGTGTTTGATTGGTATAATTTTCTACCGGAAAAATGTTGAAATTTTGAATCTTTTGGCGTTCGTTTGACTTTGTTTTCCATGAAAATTATCCATTAAAGGGAAAAAAAATTTACAATTGAGGATAGAATTTGTTTCCATTAATGAAAAAATGGAAATAGGGGTCACTTGGGGGGGAAAACCAATTGCCAAGAAAAATTTGGCTATCAAACAACCAAAAAGTTGGAACTTGGAAAATGAGTGTGGAGAGAGACGAACTCAAGTCTTTAACTGATTTGATATAATGTTGAACCAAGCTTAATCTCTTATGGAGGCATGCATTTATTTATTTATATTTAGTCCAACAGTTCGTTGTTATGTCTAAGTGGAGGCTATAGAATGGTCAGAGAAATCTAGAAAAGTAATATCTTAGAACGTATTTGAAAGAAATATATCTTGGGAAAACCTGAAACAAAATTTCTTATTTGATATCAGAGGAGGAGGATGTTGGGAATTTACTTAACATGCACAGCGGATATAAAACAATTTTCAATTCCCAAACGAGGATCTGCAATGTGTTTAGATAGAAACTGTGATGAGAATGATACATTTGATGAATTCCACAAACTCTTTTGCTTTTTCTTGAACTCCAATGATCACGATCTGCAATCCAAGCTGTCCAATTGTCCAGCCTCCAATGGTGATCCACACAGAGAACAAGAATGATGGCTAGGGTTTTCTTTTCTTGTGCTAGCAAGAATAATGAAAATTCTCTACAGTTTACAAACCCTAACAGCTTATTAATATAAGCCCAAGTGGGCTTGGCCCATCTCTAAACTTAACCCGGTCCGATATTTAACTAATCAAATTAATTAAATCCGGTCCATGAATTAATTAATCCAATTAATTAATTCGGGCCTATTAATAAACAACCCAATTAATTAATTATCCAACACTTGTCAATTAATTAATTGGTAAATCTCATTCTTCTGATTCTCTTTTGTGTGTGACCCATTAGGTTCCCGATCACGATGCCGAACGACGTGAATTATTATTTTGATCTAATCAAAATCGATAAATTAAAACGCCCCTTTTAATTTATCACTAATTCATTTTCGTTGTCCCAGATTGACATCTAGCAATGTATCAGGGCAATACATGTGACGGGAAATATCACGTAGCATGACAAAACCAAACTTGTTCGTTTACCGTGAAACTATAATCCTTTCGTCAATATGATCCGATCAATTATGAGATATGGATATGTGTCAATCTCAATTATCGATCATATCTTTTATCCCACTGTTAAGTCAATGTACGTCGAAAACTCTTTTCCGACTTATGAGTTCACCTTGGCCAAGGATTTCATTATTAACTTAACTGGATAAAATGTAGATCATAATCTCTTACTATCTAAGAGTGACGAATCCTCTATTGATCATTCACAACCTTCATATGATTCTTGACATACCCGAACGATGCTGTATTAGCGACCCTTGACAGAGCAACATCCAACATCACCAAAGTATGACTGCCCTCATATAAGGTACTATGATGACCTCAAGTCAAAGGACCAATTCCACTACCGAACGTTAGAGATTAACCACTAACACTTAGATAGTTATCCATGTGGAATCTCTCAGCGGGTCTCCAATGTTTTGTTCTATAACAAAACATCCACGTGTTCATTCAAGTGTCACCACACTTTAGCTTGTGAGATCAGCTACTTACTTCACAAGTAAGAATGCCACACGCGATAGTCTATCCGTAATAACGATATCCGTATCTCGTTATTACTTCGACCACGGACGATTTAAGATTCAGTCATATGTAATTTGTATCTCACAATCACAACTCCTTGTGATTAACAAATCACCAAGACTTGAATCTACGGATTCTATTATTTAATTTATTAGAATATTAATTCAATTAAATAATAGATATTACCATATATATGCATTGATTATATATATTCAAAGTGTTTATGTCCAAAGTTGATTGGACCTAGGGCATAACATTTACAGAGGATAGTTAACATACAAAGAGCCAGAGTTTCTTTTTATGTGATTGTTCTTAGAGCTTCCTGCATTCTAGATAGCTCCAATCTTATTGCATACAACTGTAATTACTTTCTGCAGTGATAGATATCGATGCTGTTGGTACATTTACAATGTGCCACGAAGCACTTACTTATCTCAAGAAAGGTGGACAAGGAAGGAGCTCATCTACTGGCGGATTTATATTAAACATCAGTGCCACTTTGCATTACACGGCGTCTTGGTATCAAATCCACGTATCTGCAGCCAAGGTTTGTAAGTTCTATGCTTACTGCAAAGAAAATTTGACATCCTTTGCGAATTTTAATCAACATTTACTTCAATTCAGGCAGCTGTTGATGCCCTTACGAGAAATTTGGCCCTGGAGTGGGGTACCGATTATGATATCAGAGTTAATGGTATTGCACCAGGTCCTATAGAAGATACTGCTGGAATGAGTAAACTTGCACCTCGCGAGATACTTAGCAAAGGTAGAGAGTGGATGCCTCTCCATTTTATTGGTGAGAAGTGGGATATTGCCATGGCTGCTCTGTATCTTGCATCATATGCTGGTTAGTAGTTTTGCTGATTTCTTATACACGACATATGATATTCATCTTTCAGCAAATGACGTCCGATGCACTAACCATTGCATTATGGCAACTTCTTGTGGCAACTTCAGTATTCTGGGAAATTTTATTTTGGAATTTTTAATTTACTTGAGGATTTGCAGATCTATCATTGCCAAGAAAGGCATCTAGCATGTAAATGAATTCTAGTTTTTGTATCATGTGAAGGTAAATACATAAATGGAACAACCCTCGTAGTAGACGGAGGACACTGGTTGAATCAACCTCGCCATCTTCCCAAAGAGGCGGTTAAACAGCTTTCTCGGAGCGTGGAAAAAAGATCGCGAGATTCACCAATTGCAGTTCCTACCAGCAAACTGTAACGTATTTTAAATATTTACAGTGTTGTTACAATCTAGTTATTGAATTATTGGAAGTCGCTTAATGCTAGAATCCACGCTCGGCTTTGATAACTGAATTCGTTCTGTTTCTTCATATGCAAACCAAAGTTGCGGGCATGAAATATGCTTTAGCCTATGTTTGGCTCACCGGTATAAATTGTTTATTAAGCCACTTTTTATAAGCACTACCTAGTTATTCATCACTCATTTCTATTCATTTATAAATTAAACCGTTATAAACTCTTCCCAAACATGCTTCAAAGTGGTTATGTGCCCAATCAAATTAGTGCATTTGCAGTCAAAAGTGTGAGCATCCACATAACTACGAGCTTAGCAGTGAGTAATAAGACTGATGCACTTCATAGAGCAGCGTCTCATAACTTATCCAGATATCCCTTCCGTGATAACCACCACCCTAACAACCATTGACGGTGGTGCCATAGATGCGAAGGCCATGTTTGGCTGAGAAACAAGATAAGTGAAACACAAAATGCACAATAAGTACTTTAGTGTATTGCATCTAAACAGTTTGAAATTATCGTTCAAGGCCAAGGGCTACAAGATTAAAGGAACCAGGCGGAAGTTGTTCCTATGTGCTGTCATATGTTTTACCAAACAAATCTTCCATCCCTTGCCAACTATGAGAAAAGCAGGTGTAAACTCTCCTAATAAAAGCAATTTCCAAGGTTAAAACTTAAAAGTGACACAACTACCCGTAATTCAATTTACTATCATCCAACACAATTTTTCCGCTACAGTAAACCTAGGAAACACTAAAGCTGCCAAGCAAAAAAATTTCAGTCTCTCGTCTAGTTGCCTGACTAAGCACACAGGATTACCTAAGTCTCACCCCTTGGTTGTGTCACTCTGTCGCTCTTGAGGCTGAGACAGCTGACCCTGTGACGGCGGCCACGGCATATAGGGTAGAGGAGGTTGAGGATGTTGACCAGTAAAGAGTGTGGCTTGATCTGCCGGTTTTCCCATGGTCATCCCAGCTGGTCCCACTGAATGCTGAGGAACATAATAATACGGAATTGGATCTGAAGGAGATCCCAGTGACGGGATAGTAGCCTTAGTGACACCAAGCCCCTCCTCTCTTAACTCGTCTCGAGGAATAATATCAACTAAAAAGTCAAAAACATCAGTTCTCGAAATGGCAGCAGCAATATCGTTCTTCTGAAGAGTCCTCCTTTTGTTCTCTTCTGTATGGATCCAGGATCGTTGCGTTAGCTCCAAGATGAACATCTCACACGCCTTTGCAAAAACAACCGGAGCTTCAGCAGAAATCATTCTAACATCTTCATCAGCTTTCATTATTTTCTTGATTCGAGCAAGTGGGAGACTTTGGTTCTTGAAATCAGTCGTGTGCTCAACTTCTTGCATTTGACTTGCCCAGAAAGCTTGAAGCTGCTGTTGACTCTGTTGCTGCTGTTGACTATTGAATTGCTGGGGTTGATGGTGGTAAGCAAGTTGGGAAGCCGGATAAGCACTCGGGGAGGAAATAGCTACGGCAGGAGTGCCAGTAGCCACTGCTTGGTAAGGATTATATGTCATCTGGCCACTGCCTGGTACAACTCCAACCACTGGCTGCTGTTGTTGCAGATTCTGATGCTGCTGTTGGAATATGTGGTCCGATTGATTCATGGCTGTCAGTAAAGTTATCTTTTACTCTTGTTACAACTATCTCCTCAATCAAATTCTGAAACACGAAAAAATCTTGATCCCTTTAGAGAATTTTAATTATTCGTTTGTGATCTATGCAAAGAATCTTGTCTAGATGCACGAATCTTACGTGGTACGAGCTACAACAGATCTCTTAAGTGTTTCACATCTCATTCTAATTCTAAAACTTCAGAATTTAATTATGACATGCATAAATATATACAAAATTTACTAAAAAACTGTAATCACTACATAACAAATACTTTAATTCCCTACAATGAGCTTGGCAATTAAAATAATTCCAAAGCATCTTTCTCACTAGAGCTTAATCCAATTTTCTGAATCACTTGCATAATCACTAGTTAAAAAAGCACAGAAAAAGAAAATCAAGTGTGGAAACGGTTTATAGTTTTTCCAACAATTAGCACTGCGAAGTTACAAAGTACAAATTACTTCGGCAAAAACTATTAATACCAAGGGAAGGGGCGAAAATAAATAGAAGACTAAGATAAACCGATTCATTTGTGTTTGCCTTTCGATACGACAAAAGACAATAATATTTCAAAACAAGTCTCATTCGGCAAGAACGTGCCTATTTATCTAATTTATGTGTGAAATAGAAAAGTCACAACACACTATGAAATCTACTCTTAACCCTGAATTTTAAATTCTTCATATTCTTATAGAGGAATTCCTCTTATAAGAGAAATCTACAAACAAATACCATCAGCAAATGCAGGGCAAACGTGCAGAAGCAAGGATTGGACCTCAGAACCCCAATCCACCCCCACCCCACCCCAAAGAAGAACCCTGAAAATTTAATTCAAGATTAAACCAAAAAAAATTAAAAAATAATCCCCAAGATCTTTTCCATACCAAGATAATTTTTCACTTCCTAAGCACACAATTTTGTTCTCACGTTTGAAATCATCAAATAAGAAAATGCACAACAATAACAAAAAGTTCAAAAGTAAAAAGAATACTTTTCCGGCACCCCATCTGATTACAATCCAAAGATAAATCATCTTTACATCACAATTCACAAGAAAAAGAAAAATAAACATCAGAAAACCATAGAAATCGGGAAAAAAATTACGAAAGAGATATTTACCCGTATTTTCTGAATCAAAAAGTCGCGGATTTCTCTGATGGCACAAACCCTAAACGAGAGGAGTGTGAGCGCGCGTGAATTTATAAGCAGATTACATATAAATCACAATTTCCCCTATTCATTTATAAAGACCCAGAAACAAAAAGAGAGACTTCCCGGGTCCAGAAACAAAAAGAAAGAGAGACTCCGGGGATTGGGTGGGTTGTGGGGAATATGTACCTGGAAACGTACCATTATATAGTCACACTACAATAATTTGAAATTTTAATAATTGGAACAGGGTTATTCTTAAAAATGTGTAGCTAAAAAAAAAGAAAAAAATTTTAAAATTACGCATAATATTATTTTATTAAATAATGTGTGGTTGATAAGAAAAATAAATAAATTAGGGTAATTAGAGCAAAACGTCCCTACCTTTGAAGGTTTTTGTGGAATATGTCCATATCTTTCGTTTTTTGGCACAAAACGTCCATACCTTTCACATTCTATGCGCTGAACGTCATTTTTAACCATTTTTAACATAAAATAACCATTATACCCTCCTATATAAATAAAACAAAAAAGAAAATAAAGAATAAATTGCAATCTACTCCTAAACTTTTTAAAAAATGCAAATCGGTCCAAAAAGATGGCGATTTTTTGCCTTTTTTTCAGCCCAAATGAGTCCGAATTTCGGCAGCCTCTGGCCACCCAAGTCGCCGAACGTTGACACCGGTCAACAGCCCTCCAATTCCCCCTTCAATTACCACCCAACCACTCTCAATTTCATCAACTGTAGTGGTTGGAATTAATGCTGAAAGTTCACTATCCTCAAATTTAAAAATCGTCGGAAATTACATTCCGGCCACCCCCATGATCGGAACTTACCTCCTATCAATTTCCTATCATCAGATGACCACATGCATGCCAACAATTTACNAAAAAAAGAAAAGAAAAGAAAAGAAAAATAAAGAATAAATTTCAATCTGCTCCTAAATTTTTTTAAAAATACAAATCAGTCTGAAACACTCATGGTCGCGGACCACACCGGCACACCTAGCCCAACCATGGGTCTAAGTCAATTTCGACCTGAAGCCATTCAATTCGTGGGAGAAATACTATGTTCCGAAAATTATAATTTGATTTCGACCTGAAGTTCTAACAAATCCAGGCAAAATTGTGGAAGACCCATGGGTGGAATAGCTTCGCCATGATGAGAGGGCGTTGAATGGAGTGGTCCGCGACCATGGGTCAAAGGGACGACATCGGAATCAGCTAAGTTTAGTGCGCAACGAGATAGTCGCAACTGCGTTATTTTCAGTTTCAAATTGAACATGTTGGATAAATGTTTTCGATGAATTGCCCACATGGCTGAGGTCGTCTGCGTGTGGGCAACCGGATGATGGTAGTCCGCGATCCTGTTGTTGGCCGGAGGTGCGAATTCCAGCAATTTGTCCATTTTCTGAGTAGCTGATTTTGCTTTCTAATTTCTGCCGGTTTATTGGATGATATGGGGAATTCTTGGGATGAAATTGGAGAGGGTGTTGAGGAGATTGTGTTGGTACCAATGTCTGGAGGTTGTGGCAATGGAGAAGAGTAGATGTGGTCATCAGACGGTGGAGGTGGTGGAGGAGAAGAGAGAGTGTGTTTTTGTTATTTTTAATATTTTTATAAGTTTTGGACTGATTTGCATTTTTTAAAAAGTTGAGGAGTAGATTGCAATTTATTTTTTATTTTTCTTTTCTTTTTTGTTTTATTTATATAGGAGGATATATTGGTCATTTTATGTTAAAAATTGGTGAAAATTACATTCAGCGCAAAGAATGTGAAAGGTAGGGAAGTTCTGCGCCAAAAAACGAAAGGTAGGAATGTTTTCCACAAAAACCTTCAAAGGTAGGGGCGTTTTGCACCAATTATCCAATAAATTATAATTTTAATAGGGTGAAACATGGGCATAATACTGCGAAGAACAGTATTCGAGTCTTCCACATGTTAGATAGATATTGATTAGAATTATATAAAATACGCTTCATTAGTCCTTTAGCCCTTGTTTGTCATCCATTTTGCCCTGTTTCGTAGGCATTATGGCAAAAGAATGCATTAATTATTTCAAATCAAAAACAGTAAATGACAGCCATGTACTATCAGGCAAATGACATTTTATCCCATTATTTAAAATTTGCACGTGTGTTTCTCGTTTATTGTATGGGGAAAACATTTTTGCACGTAATACCATTCGTTTGACTTTGTTTTCCATGAAAATTGTCAATAAAGTAATAATTTTTGTACATATCATGGTTACAATTTCAAAGTAATGAACACAAAAAAAAAAACTGAAATAAAAAAAACCTGGATTATTTATATCCTACCAAAATGGTGGGAATTTATTTTCATCAACACCATGGAAAAATTGTAACCATATGAGGTCAACCAAGATAATCAATTGCAATGAACAAAATAATGGTGAGACTTTATTTTCATCAAAATCATGATGCTGTTTTGATGGTCGGGTGCACTCGATTTTCACACAACGGAGTTAAAAAAAAGAAAACAAACAAGCAATTTCATTGTTGTCGTGCCATATAATCGCGAAATCTGCCCCATTCACTTCGATGCATTTCCGGAGCGTTAATTTCAGCATGACCTCGAACACATCCTCATTCGTTTCAGGTATAGCGAATGCCGCATCCACCACTCCAGAACGACGTAGAAAATTATGAATACCCATTGTTGCAACAACAACGGCAACTTGAGTGCAAAACGAATAGCTGGGCATTCGATCGAGGATTTGCCATCTTTTCTTCCAAACACCAAATGCACGTTCGATTACATTCCTGCAGGACGAGTGTTTGTAGTTAAACCACTCACGATCATTACGAAAACAACGACGACATGTTCCATCATCGTGAAACTCTTAAAAATGGTACAAAATATTCGATCCTTTGTAAGGTGCCATATCTCCCAGTCGATGTGCGAACCCCGAGTCTACCAAATAATACTTTCCCGCTGCTGGTTCTGGGAAACAAATTTTTGGACTATGTATTACGCATGCCAGTATATGAGCGTCGTGCGTATTTCCAGTTGTGCTAGCAAGCACGAAAGTGCACAAATTAAAGTCACAAATCGCCAACACATTTTACGTCATCACTCCTTTTCGACCAATGAAGTTCACCCGCTCATTACGCGAAAGCACAGCTTTCACATGCGTTCCATCTATGACACCTATGCAATCTTTAAACAATGGATGCTTATTCGGATCTGGCCTGTGGGGATCTGGACCCTCGTTGTAGTTCGGTCTTGGCTGTATGAGCCGAGTAGATAACGCACGATCGCACGAAGAACCTCCTTAAAGTACTGACATATTGTTTGCAATGTTCGTAGTAGTTCGGTCTTGGCAGTATGAGCCGAGTAGATAACTCACGATAGCACGAAGAACCTCCTTAAAGTACTGACATATTGATTGCAATGAATGATTTAAAATTGTATTCACCTGCCAGTAACCTTTTCCATGCGCTAATATGTACAAGAACATACCGACCTTCTCATATATATCGACTTGCTGGCTACTGCGTAGGCTGTATTCATTCCTCAAGGTATGAGCAAAGTGTCTAGTTGCTGAGGGTACATCCGGAACTCCTGATAGCACATTTGTGCGTTCTCCTCCATCGCTTCCTTCATAAACATATGACCGTTTCTAGCAAAAGGAAATTGTCGGATGCGACGTCGTTGTTTGCGATAGTAGTGTGACGCGTTGCTTACTACAATTTGACAATACGTTATCCATTTCGTAACATTATTTGCCAGTTGGCCAATGAACTCTTCATCGACTTTTTCGTCATCTTCTGATCCCGAAAGAATATCACAGTTAAAATCTAACTCGTCCATGATGTAA